GTGATAGCTATTTCGGAAATCACCACATTTCCTCATCAGACTTCTTTCAGTAGGATTCGAACCGACGATCCCACTGACTCAGCCAGTTGCCTATGCACCGTGCTAAGTACGCCTTGTAAATTATCGTTTGCTTTTTTCCACTATTTTCATTTTTGTTATGCCAACACAAAATGTAATAATTTACGAAATAAAACATTTCTGAATAATTTGTTAAAGAGTAAACTGCAAGAGGTCCAAAAATGCGTGGAGCCACGTTAAATTGGGAGCCACTATAAAATTGTGTGTAATATTGAACCCTCGTTGCTAAACGCCGACAAAATATTTTTTTATTATTTTTACTTTTATTTCAACATAGAGTGATTAAAAGAAAAATACTGATAAAAATAAAATATTTCACATGAACAGGGTTGAAATTTTGAAATTCCTGCCCGTATTTTATTTGTAAGTCAAATATTAGTGGCATTGTGCTACTATGATTGCACAACTGAGTAATCATAGTCAAGTTATGTACAGTAGTCGAAAAAATTATAGCCGAACCAAATTTTGACAAGTTAGTTTTTTATAGTTCATTCTTTACCAACATCCGTATAAATACAAGTTTAAAGGCAGTGTAACACGATTGGGAATTTGCCGAAATTTGGTGCAATCGTATGCCAATTGTGTGAATACCCAAATATTTTTCTTTATCCCAATCACGAAAAATAATTTGTTGAAATTTTTCAATACCAGTTTGCTGTATTGTATCAATCTTTTTACTACAAAAAAAAAAAAAAAATATAAAAATTGTCCCAATTGTCTCAAATTTTTATTTTGTACCAAAGCCCAATATAAAAATGCACAAATCTGTACAAATGTCACAATAGAGTGACACTGCCTTAAAATTTTATGCAACTTGAAAAAGCAGGGAATAACACAACGCTTTCTAGTAAAAGCCATCGTGTTTAAGATATGCCCAAGATTTTGTGGGGCTTTACAGAACAGTAGTCCTGAAACTCCTTCAGTTCATGTACGCCCTTTGGACTGTGGGAAAAGAAACTATGTATATATGTTGCAGCACAGTGTCTCAATGCTTTTTGGCAATTTATTACAAGCGTAGCTTGAGCAAAGGTGAAGTGACTGGCATGTACAATTTATGTAAAATAAATCGATTTCTACATTCTATAATGTTTTCAGCTCGCCCAAGTCTCCAGACATAACATTGGCTCCATCAGTGGCCAACCAATTAGATTTTTTATTTTTAAAGGCAGGATTGGCAAATGTTTGAAAGGTACAATTGGCAAATATTTTATGCAAAATAATGTTTGAAATATATATTTTTATGATTAAGAATTTAAAAACTTATTTCAATAATCGGATCAACATTTTGCGTTGCCTACCAACCTACCAAATGAAAAAGAAGCGACCAAATTTGGTCGGAAAAGACCAATAGTGGCAACACTGATTGTGAGTATGCAGTTTTGTAGCCCATTGAATTCTTGTAGAATGAAGTACAAGTTTCAAATGGCTAAAAATTACGCTTGTTTTTTTTTAATTTTTTTTTTAAGGCTAGAAATTTGTACGAAAGTATGTTGAATATTTTTTAATATAGCACAAAGTTGGTAACTTTGAGTTACGCGGATTTTGTTAAAGAAATAAAAAAGTAAGTGCGCCTGGGCCACACTGGAGAAGTGGAACTTACGTTACATACATACATACATACATATCTATTCTCATAACCAATATACATACATACTTATCGTCGTTTAAAGTACAAAGGCGCGTATTGTCATTCTGCAAAACGGTGTAACTGACATTGGCTGCCAAAAATTGGTTTTGCTCACACAAGCTCTTGGCTCAATCCTTATCCATTCGTCCTGAAATATACTAGCCAGAAATGCGATTGCTTTATAAAAAAGAGAACCATTTTGAAATATGAGTGTTTATACGCTTTAGAAAATAATTTCTACAACTTCACATACGCGGTTTTGCATTTTGCTGATACGCAGTTTTGCATTTTGTTTATACGCGGTTTTGCACTTTAAACGACGATATGTACATACATACATACATCTGCTTTTACTTAAGGTTATATTTTTTCTCTTTTTTCTACCTCTACCCCTGTTCGTTCTAATTACATTTATGTTATTCTGTTTTCCTTTATCTTCATTTGTGTCTTTATAATCTATCGATAACCAAATCGATGATAACATCCAATAAAATATTGATAACAAATCCGATAAAAATATCGATAACAAAATGAGCATGAAATGGTATTACATGAACATGAAATGGTATTACAAATTTTGTCCGATGTTTTTAAGTATCAGAAGCTGAAGATATGGACTCACAAAAATGTTTGCCAAAATGATCAGAACGTCGAGCCGAGTCGATTTGCCAAGTTGTACATCTGTCTGTCTGTTTAAAAGCAATTTAGCCCTTCAGTTTTCGACATATCCGACTGAAAGTTTTATGATTGATTTACCATTTGTCGGAACCGTCAAAACTCGACCACTATAACTTATAACTCCCATATAACTGATTGGCCATTTTAGTTCTCGGTCCTGGTTGACTATTCTGAGCAAATGCTTAATTATTTCTTCAAACAAAGCTTTGAATAGCCTTATATCCTAACATGACTACTTTAGAAAAATCAATCTTCATAACGGCAAAAAGAGTATGTACCATTAGGGCGGCTCAATTTTTATGGGAGATTTTTTCGACTATGCGCGTATTGTACAGAAGAATCACACGTAGAATGATTCTAAGTAAATCTGCCGAAAAAATCATGGCTCTAAAATCAACTTGTAGTTTGCCAAATTTCGAAAATAGGTTTCTTAGGATTTTGCTGTAGTGTCGCAAAGAAGTGCTTAAATTTTTTCTAATACACGCTATAAGCGGGTTTTTGGTATGAGGAATCAATTTATGTCACTTAATATTTTTTTAAACTTCCACTAGAGGGCGCACGGGGAAACTTTACTCATTTTCTTCGAAACCAAGTGTGCCGAAGAAACTATGGGTCTAAAATCAATCTGAAGTTTGCCAAATGGCAAAATACATTTGGCAAACTTCAGATTGATTTTAGACCCATAGTTTCTTCGGCACATTTGGTTAGAATTGCACGCAGGATTCTCCTATGCTATACGTGCATAATAAAAAAAAAAATGGCACATCCTAATGTTACACTTATGCATATACATATGCAAGTAAGTTTGAATGTATGCATGGATGCGGCTCCGCAAATTAATAGCTTAAACTATGTTTACATACCAATATTATCACTAACAAAGCTCGTTTTTTAATCACCCTGTTTACACAGGCAAATCTCAGATTATTAGCCGTCAAATTTGTTGTGCTTGTTATTCTCACATCTCAAGGAAAAGTTATGTTTCTTCTCTGTGCCACCGTGATCACATTTTTCTGCTATATTAAGCAATATAAATATATTTTAACTTAACATTTTATTAAAAAAAAGTACCTTTAAAACCCTCTTTTCCTTGCTAGCGTCCATTTTTGTTTACATTTACATTTGGCATTTCTCCTCTTTTTTGCAAAAACAATCGATAAAACTAGGATGGACTCCGAAAAGTTATCGGTTTAATCTGAGATTATTTTATAATTACAGATTAACAAGGGACGAATTTTATATGGCTAATCTCTTGTTATAATTACAAATTAGCGTGTTGAGCTCGAAAATGAGGATAATCTACTTATATGTGAACCTAGTATTAAACTATGTTCTACATACAATATTATCACTAACAAAGCTCGTTTTTTAATCACCCTGTTTACACAGGCAAATCTCAGATTATTAGCCGTCAAATTTGTTGTGCTTGTTATTCTCACATCTCAAGGAAAAGTTATGTTTCTTCTCTGTGCCACCGTGATCACGTTTTTCTGCTATATAAGCAATATAAATATATTTTAACTTAACATTTTATTAAAAATAAGTACCTTTACAAACCTCTTTTCTTGCTAGCGTCCATTTTTGTTACTTTACATTTGGCGTTTCTCCTCTTTTGCAAAAACAATCGATAAAACAGGATGGACCCGAAAAGTTATCGGTTTAATCTGAGATTATTTTATAATTACAGATTAACAAGGGACGAATTTTATATGGCTAATCTCTTGTTATAATTACAGATTAGGGTGTTAAGCTCGAAAATGAGGATAATCTACTTATATGTGAACCTAGTATTAGATAGCTTATTTATAACTTAACACTTATGTATGTATGTATGTAGTTCTCCATAAAGCAAATGTAACTAAATTAGCAACAAAAAGTAGTTATTTTTAAAAATTCAACAACAAAACGTCATTGCGCGGTGACGAGGTGGCACGCAAACGAGTACATTGACACCAAGCCAAACGTTAATAGCATCGGCAGAAGCGGTCCCGCGCATGTCTCCGAAATGTTTGTTTTCACCAATGCAACAACAAAGCAAAACATAAACAAATCGAAGCAGAATAAAAAAAAATATAACTAAAAGATTGGCGCCAATGTGCACTGAGCAAATACAAACAAGTGTTTTGGTCCCCATTAACAAAGCCAGCCGAGCACGAAAGTAGAAGAGAGTAAAATAGAATTGAGCGATGAGATAGTTTTGCAAGCTCATTGGGAAGTGGAGCTTTTGAGCTTTGCCACCCACCTCCTAACGAGCCGACAAGCGTAACTGTTTTGAGAAAGTCTGTCTACGAAACGAAACGAATGGTCAGTTCAGTCAACATTGAGCTCCCTAGAAATAAACGCGACACGGAACGGTCCATGTAACCTACATCATTAGAGCTGGAAAAAAATTAAATATAATTTTGTGTACACATGTAAGAATCCATTATTTGTGCAGCAGCTGTGGCGGAAGGATTAAGTGGAAATACAACATATTTACACATACATATAAGTGTATTGAAATAGTGGAGCATTGAATTGAATAATGGCTCATCGGGGCTTGCTGATTGCTGATTTGGTTACGAATAAGTCAGCAATGTGGTTAACAAACCCTAAATTAGGCATACCAAGTCCCAGTGTAATTAAGTGAAGAAAAGTGTATGGTATAACCTTAAAGCGAGAGAAGGAGGAGAGAATATCGAAGAAAAAATATTTGTCAAATTACAAGCAGTAAAGTGCATTTAATAAAATTCAATTATACAAGAAATTGCATAATTTCCTTGGCGACAATGTTACAGCTACTACATTAATCTCAGCAAAAGAAAAGGTACATGCTTTCACATGGGCCTTTCTATGTTTATAAAAAATGCATAACATCAAATTTTCATGAGTATAATATGCAATTAAATTTAAAATGCGTTCAAGACCTCGGTGACTTTGGGAATACGTTTAAAAAGGAAAATGCAATAAAATACATAGGTGTGCGCGTTTGTGTGTAAGTGGGGGAAAAATCGTGTAGGTATAAGGAAAGAAAATTTAAGTACATTGAAAACGTTCAGGCATACAGGCGCGCGCGCGTACACTTGCACTCATCTAGCCATAGTAGTTATGTATGTATGCTTCAAAGCACGCATGAAGCGTTACGAACTTTATAGCTTACATACATATGTATGTATGTGACCGTATACATATGTATCTAGATACCCTGCAGGGAAACGGAAGTAGTTCCAAACTAATGATTTTACATGCCCTATATAAACTACAGTACATATACCTTCTTTGCAACGAAGTGGCGAATTTTACATGGACATGGAGAGGTGCCACTGGAATATTCAAAATTCAACTTTGAAAATAGGTTTGTGTAATTTATTTAAATTGGCGAATTCTTGCGGCCATCCAGGCCCATTCCAGTAGGATTTTTAAAAGTAGGCTTATTAAATATTCCAATTTAGATAGCAAGAACACAATTACACTGTTCGCAGCGCTAGGCCACTTCGGAGTTTCAAGGGTGCTCACGAAAAAGCACCGTTAGTTAATCCAGCCCCAGGTTACTTGTTATCCAAACAGCAATAATTGCCTACGTTATTAAATGAACCAAGTCGGTCTGACTACAGCGTTCGAGTTCTGGATTAGAGAATTCTCTGAGCGATACAAAAGATATTTCATGTCACCTAAAATTTTTTTTAGCGGCCTCCATTGTCAAGTGGTTAGGGGTTTGAGGACTGTTCGGCGTCAGTCACGAATTGGAAAATAAATATTTTAAACACGTTTAGCGTGATAGGTTATGAAGCGGGGGTAAGAGAGTACTAGGGAAATCAACCAACAGGCACATCATAAGTCACCTCTATGAATACATAACACCACGGCCAGCACCGACCACCAACCATCAACGGCAACTACCGAGAGACAATCACCACCTTTGAAAACTTTCTCCCCGTAAATGCCGTCATCGTAGTTCAACTATCAATCATTGCAGAGTTTAAGCTGCTTAGAGACGCTCGTGTAACTCTGACAGAATTATGATCTGGATACTGTACCAGACTCAACTTCAACTTATCAAGACTCTACCCAGACCATGACCAGAACATGTCAGATTTTTTAATGGACTCCCGCGACCCCTGCCACCTCTTCAATGTTCCTGTAAAATATCCCTTTTCCTTTAGTCCGACGACGTCGAAACAGCATGTTTCCTGGGCCTATCGTTAGTTGAGCGCGACCACAACTGTTGATAGATTGCCGATTTAGACCGGGCTTAATGTAGTAGTGGGTCGCAGCCTCAGTTCGATGGGCAACGCCAGGGTAGCATTTTCTCAATTAAAATGTTTGTGGCAACCACAAAAACACAGTTGCGGACTACATTTGCTAGATTTAAAGCATGGTAGCACTTTTCAGTCCTTGATTAAGGCAATTCAAAACGACCAATTCAATTTAGTACTTAACAGACAACTCTGTTAAAATAAAAACAACTCTTAGCGCTTACAGCGATCCTAGCTACAGAGTTAGGGCCGTCTCACATGATCCGGTCAACGGCAAACTGGAAACCGGCTTGCCGCCACAGAATGTTACTATATAACCGGGCACCAGCTTGTGAGAAAGCTCTAACAGCTAAACATACACCTTGTGCCAGCTGGCGTTTAACCGGTAACCATCGCGTGTGAAGCCGCAATTAGTCTAGTAAAAGATACACTGCTTTCAAAATTTTCTATGATTTTTTTTCTCTTTGGAACCTATCAGGATTTTTCTGAATTCTTCATACTTTACTTTACGACAACTTTTTCGATAACTTTGCTGAACTTTTCACGTCCAAAGGTTTTTAAATTTATAGGGTCATAATAGAGTCACTACATTTTGGCCAGTTTTGACTCGTTTTCTTTTGTTTGTTTTATGCTTATTTTGCCGCGTTGATTTTAGATACATATAATTTTTTTTTGACGGTGCACAGTGTTCGACTATATGGAGGCAGGTGAAAATAATAATTAACCTAATTTTACTTAGAAATAGGAAATTATGAAATTTGGTAAATACAGGATAATTGCCACTCCCTCCACTATTGTGGGCGGAAACATTAAATTTCATCCGATGTCGATGAAATTTAGTTTATACACTCTCTTTTATTAAAAAAAGGCTCAATATAAAATATGAGGAAGATTGGATCACTATAACGTCTACAACTCGCAAAAAATGTGGGTCCAGAAATGAAATGTGATGGAATTTTGGTAAATTTGTGTTTCTTGCTTTCCACTCTTAAAAAGTAAAAATTTTACTTAAAAATTACACAGGTTATGTTGGAATTATTTTCGTAAAATTTAGAAAAATTAACATCCCTAGCTTATAATCACTTTGCTTTTTATGAATGCATAAAAATATATGGAAATTTTCTACTCATATCAGAAAAATTTTTTCGAGTAAAAATGAAAACGGGAATTTAACACATGGCAATACTAATTTTGGTGCGGCAAATTCTAAAGCTTGTTTTGATGGATTTTTTGTGCTGATTGCGATATAAAGTTTCTATCAGCTTCAGATTTTGAAAATACTCCTGAAAATGCCATTCCTGTATCTTGTCATTTATTGAACAGAATAAAAACAGATTTTTGGGGAGTTTTAGTACTTAACGAAATTAAACAAAAAGTGATAGAATTTGCTTCGTGACATTTAATTAAAGCTTAAATTTTCAACAATTAGTCCTGAATATCTAATTTCTGCACAACTACCTCTAATAGTCATTGGTAGTGGTTTTTGTAATTGCAATATGACATTGGACTGTCACCGACTTTGAAGCCAGGGTGCAGGAATAGTGTATTTAGGGGTTGTAGTCGAAGGTTAAAGCTTTAGGTTAAGTCTAAGTGGAATGTTCTATCGCCTTTGTTTTTACAAGAGTTGCCAAAAAATCTTAATCAGCCCAAGAAAAAAAAAATCCGTCAAAATTAGCTTTAACATTTGCCACACCAAAATTTGTTTCTATTTTTGTGGCCTTTTTAATTTACTGGCATTTTTTGATTTTTTTGAAAGACAAGAAGAACTGTTCGAAATCAATCATTCTCCCTGCAGGGCATACCATATACGATGTTGGACATGCCAGAGAATGAACGCGCTCGGCCAGCAAACTTCGTGGCTTAAGTATATATGTATTTTGTGTGTCAGCTTGTAAGCGGAGGAACCTTAAAAGACACACAAGCAAATAAACTTTTAGATAAGCTAACAAAGAATAGCCAAAGCAAAAGGGGAAGAAGGAGAAAATCAAAGAGAGTTGTGTAAAAGGCTAGCCAAATCGCAGTAGAACTTAGGTAATTACGAAAAGTGTTCCAACCTTTACTGTTAGGCGCATACAAAAAAGGGGAAGATATGTATAACCAAAACCGTAAAGAGAAAACCACAGCCAAAAACTCGACATGCAACTGCGTGCTGTATAGTGTTTCAGTTAAGCAGTGAAATATGGCGGCGAAAACATACTTGCCTACATACATCAGTACTTTTATACATAAATATTTCGTTTAACCGCTATTTTTCTTTATCCTTTTTTTGTTTGTTGCACGTTGGAAACGCCTCATAGTTGTTTAATGCATTTTATGCTTCCTTTTACTGCCACTCAGCGCTAAATTGTATGAATGAAAGTCTAAAAACCTCTCCCTACCGCCGTCTATTTAGTGCACCTCGTTCACCTTGCGCCGCCTTTGTCACTTTTCCTTCACATTTGCGGTTTTTTTGTGGGTTTTTTCCCAGCTTGCTTTTGGCGTTCATTGTTTGTGCCACTCACAAGCAAAGCTGAATTTTTGTGTTGAGCCTTAAGGCTTTTGTATTGCGCTTTCACTTGTGGCTCTGCTTCGTTTTCGTTTATTTTTTCCACAGCCTTATTTGTGTTTTTTGTTTTTACTTCATATTTGTATGACTTACTTTTTTCTTTATGTAGACATGCTTTTTTTACTGTTATTTGTTGACTGTCTCGATACGACGCTTTTCGGCAGAAAGGCCGTTTAACGTGGCGTTTGACCAGCTCCATAAAAATGTCATGTCGCGTATACGCCATGCTGCCCGCACGTTTGTCTTCGCCACACCGCAAGGCAGCTTTTAGGCGCATTTCAGTTTTATATGCGCTTAGTTGCATGTGTGCCTCTGTCTGCTTGTTATTTCGCTTTGGTACTTGTGAGACATAAAGTATTTACTATCCAAATATTTGAACAGTAGCTGTGCTATATGTATGTATGTATGTGTACATTTTATTTATCATTTGTTTGCATATTTGGCTGAATTAATGTTTATGTTGCAGCATTTAGGTTTATTACAGTTATTTAAAATTTGTATGTACATATATCTAGCTTTCTTGCTTTCAACTGCTATTCCGTAAGAAGGATTTTTTGTCTTTAATATTACTGCTTCAGTAGCAATTGCTAGTTTGCTTCTCTTGCAAACTTTGTTGCTTTCACAACTTGCGATTCCCCTTCGTTTTCATCCCAATTACAGCTGTAATGGTCGCATGTCCGGTTCTCATATTTCATTTAAAATTACAAGTATTCTGTTTGTGCAGGATTCACTAGCAATTACATTTACACATTATTCTTCGTGCAATTTAAAAGAATTTACTATGCTTTGAGTGTTGCTGCGCTCTGTCAGCGCTTACTTGAGTACTTAATTTTTAAGTAAGTAGTTTGCAGCTGTCGTTCTTATAATGAGACACATTTGTTCGGCTTTATTTTAGAGCAAGCGCATATTTTGCATTTGCATTTTTTTTTACCCGATTGCACTTATGCAGGGATGATTACTTTGTTCGAAAGCGTTTGTTTGCAATAGCCTAATGGAATTTAGATAAATATACATACATATGTACAT